AGTCCAAGTCGCCTTACCCTCGCGAGCCGGCACGGCAGGAAGGTTATTAGCCGAGCAACCCTTAAGGCTCTTAAGCCGCTCCTAGGAGACGGATCAGTAACGAGAACACCACGAAGGCTAAGGAAACATACCGAAAAGAAGACGGAGAGCATAGTGTTCATCGACTCCAGAGAATTCGCAATATCCAACCGCGTCTTCGCATCAGTGATATTACGAGCCCGCGCCCGACGGCGAGCCAGGGTAGCGCCTGATACCCCGGGAGTAGCAATTGCTGCGATCGCCGCAGCAGCGACTGCCGCTGGAGTCGCAGGCGTATCATCGGCGCCGCGAAGAGCTTTCTTACACTGCTGTTGCAGCGGACCAATAACAGCCTGCTGCGAGTCAGAATAATAATCGCAACGAAGGAGTAACGACATACCGGGTCTGGTTGGGCTTGCTGAAGCGCGTCTGACAACAACCGCGCGGCCTGACGATATTGGGCTTGAACGGGAACANATGTTTTCCCACAGCTCTTGTGGGCACATACTGCGCACTTGGGGCTGGCATCTAGGAGGCGAATTAGAAGAGGACTCGACGTAGAAGGGTTGCGATAACGAACTTGTTGCATCTGTGCAAAGCAGAGGTTGACTCCCAGCTGTCCATTTGCACATATGACCTAGGCAACGACGACAAGGAACGGCTCTATCCACGGGTTAGTTACGGGGCCGATACGAGGGAAAGGAGTCAAANGCACCGGACCGCCCCTGAGAAGTCGGCCTTCGTAAGGATACTGGGCGAGTAAATTGACATAACGCAGGATTTAGGCGGCGAAGGCGAGGGTGATTGAAGGTAAGATCAATGATGCTTTGCCCTTGCTACATCGGAATTCTGGTGGGTTTATATCCCCTTTCGCCCCTTTGTTCCCTGCGAAGAAGCATCGGCCGCTCTGGGTCACAAAGGCGACAAAGAAGCATCACGGAACTGTCACTACGTTCAACTTCCTGTCTATATTTATCCTCAGGAGTACAAAGGGAGGGCCCAAAATAGCAACACGTTCACAGCGAGGACAAAGCGAGCACGAAGCTTGAACCACGTTGAGGCTCTTGCACAGGCGACACCTTTGACAAAGGGGATCGGTCACGAGGTTGGAAAAGGAATATCGTCAAAGGCACCGGGGCGGCGCCTCGGAAGGAAGGGCAACATGTCAGAGCCNATCTAAAGAGGGCGCGGTCGCGCAACGGCCGCGCACCGGCCACGTTACGGGGGCGCGAGCTAAGGGTTGCGAAGCCCTTAGCTTAGCAACAACACTATAAAAGACCTAAAATCTAGGGAAGGAGTTAAGGAAGGCAGAGATAAATACAGTCACTTCGCTACCCTAAGCTTGCGTATTCGCTGTGTAGCTACCTGTGATCATCCCTTATCCCTCTTCACTCTCTTCCACGAACCCGGCTTCTGACACAAAGTAGTGAAATCAGTCTACGCACATAAACTTAACAGACACCGTGGAATCAGAAAAACCATACAATAAATCACACGATACTTTAAATTTAAAGGTATTAAGAAATAGGTACAGAAGGTTATATTAGAATATATGATATACGGACGAGCCAAAAGCTCCAAGTATAAACCCTACGGACAGCTACAACCACTACCTGTACTACAGCGACCATAGGAATTGATCTTATTTAACCTAATTACTAAACTACCTTCTTCAAGAGAACCAGTCATAAGGGTACTCTACGACAGTATCTTCATAGTAGTTAACAGACTTACGAAAATAGCCTACTTTATACTATTCAAGGAAGCCAGCAATACAGAAGAATTAGCTTATGTAATAATAAGATACGTCACAAGCAACCATGGACTGCCGGGGGACATGATCTCCGACAGAGGAAACACATTCGTATCCAAATTCTGGAAAGCACTCACAGCCAGATTAGGAACGAATCACAAGGCCAGCACAGCCTACCACCTACAGACAGACGGACAGACGGAAAGGATTAACCAAATAATTAAGACCTATCTACGCTGTTACATTAATTTCGAGTAAAACGACTGGGTAGAACTCCTCCCCGTCGCATAACTCGCTTACAACAGCACGGAATCAGAATCAACTGGGAAATCACCGTTCTTCCTAAACTATAGATTCAAACCCGAAGCCTACCGACCGCTAAGGCAAGGGGAAGATATTGAAAAAGCCATAATCAAGGCAGAAGACATAATCGAATTACACGACGAACTGCGACGACAACTTAAATTCATCCGACAAAGGATAATTAAATACGCAGACAAAAACAGGATTAAAGGACCAACCCTTTAGGAAGGGGACATAGTCTGGCTCCACCGACACACACGAGGAAATAAGCAAGTAAACATCAAAATAAACAGGCTAAGCGACAAACTTAATTTTAAGAAACTTAGACCTTATAAAATTTTAAGAAAAATCGGAGAAGTAAACTATGAACTTAAACTTCCAGAACGATAGGAAAAACGAGGAAAACATATACATCCGATATTTTACATCTCCCTGCTAGAAAAAGCACAAATTGACGAAGAAACTGGAAGATTTATCTAGGACGAAATCATCGTTAAAGGAGAAGAAGAAGAATATAAGGTAAAAGACATTGATGTAATAAAAACAGGAGAAGATGGTAAACGACGCTATAGGGTATAATAGGAAAAAGGGAAAGAAAAAGAAGAAACATGGGAACCTATTGAGCATCTTAAGAACTTAATAGCGCTGGTGGAAAAACTCTATTAAAGCCTAGGGATTGTGCTAGCTTAGGATCCATCGACAACATCCCTAAATAATCTACTGATTCTAAAGAAGCGGGGACGACCTTGGAAGAACCCTCTGCCGACTGCGTTGTAGCAGCCTGAAGAGCGGCCTCTGCCTTACGCTCCTTCTGCTCCAACTGCTCCAGCTCCGCTAAATTGTCGATACCCCGGGACACCGTACACGCTGCCTTTTTAGACCATTCCTTACGTTATTTCCGAAGACAAATAACTTTAGCCATAAGATTTGCGATTTCCTCTTCGATGGCTTCGACCTTACTGTTAAGCTAGTCGCGCTAACGGGAAATACGTAATAATTGTTGAGGTGTAAGAAACGCCTTACAATAAGATTTATAATCCTTAATACACTTTAAGTAGTAACTTAAGTTGACCTCGGAAGCTAAACACTAGGATCCCTTCTTTTTGCAATAGAAGCAGGGTTTTATCTCAACGGATTGTAATAATATAAAAGCAGTAAGTACTACACTCCTATTAAGTTTCTTCTTCTTTCCTTTTATATTAGCCGAGTTAGCAGATTTTTAAACGCGGAAAGTCATTTTGGCGACGAACAGGTAACAGAACAAGAAAAACACCTACAAGTAGGAGGTGTGGATACTTATATGCTAGATCACCTGGTCTTGGGGATAAGACTAACAGGAGGGGGAGAATCGTGTTACGACCTAGCTCTTATGGTTGCGACAAGGGGCCTATAGGGTAGGCACTCCTGGATTAACGTCGGGCCGCGCAGCCAATCAGGAAGCGGTCGATAGAAATCAACGTCGATTCTAATTAACGCAGGAACAAATTGATTAAGATCATAAGCGATTCCACTTAACTTCAGAATACACAACTGGATATATAAGTTTACTTTATATTACTCATTAGAATACTTAAATAGCCAGTTGTTATTACAGCGTTTATAATATAATTAGATTGGAACATAGACATTTATTCTTATTTGTATTAACTAGCTGGTGATAAGATTGCCTGTTACCGACCTGATCGCCTCCGCCAACATAAACCATAGAACCACTCTAAGGTTTGTCCCTTGGAAACAGTTAACCTATAGAGCCTATAGGACCCGGTTCGTCACATCATTGAAAAAAGCTGCTTAATTGTCGATTTATCGCCCGAGAAGAGTATAAGCGACCAAATTGAGGGTATCCGAGTTGTATTACAAACGGAAGGGGACCAAGAACTCGCAGGCGAGACCAGCAACATGATACGTTTCAAAGAAGCAAAATCTTACGAGTTAGAGTCAGGGAACACTTGGATCAAATTTAACGGGAAAAGGCTCGTATGGCTTCCCCCGCAATACCGAACAGTGTTCATAAGTTGTGAACAAAACCGAGTTGTAATCCCTCACCTCGAAGGATCTCTTTCTATCATCCAACTTTCTTACCATAAAGAATTAGCCCAACAAATATCTTATCCACACACATCAACAGCGGAAAATGCGCCTCGTGTATCAGATACAGAGACATTTACATATTTACGTGAGCTAGGCGACGGTTGGAAAATTATAACCCCCAAAATGAATGCACCGGATGATACGATAATGCACAAGACAGAACATGTTGATGAGATCAAAGACACATCGGAAGTCGCACATGAGGATATCACAGAGAATTACCGCTATTGGAAATGGACGATACTTGGCTTCTAGTTGATTTCGTAGAGCCCAAAACATCTTATAAAACTTCACCTGCGGCATCTCATCATACAAGAAAAAAAAGGAGACCAAAAGGGGCTGACCCCATCCCAACTCATCTCGCCTAACCAACACAGCCATATATTCATTTTACTATCATCAAATAATAAGAAACTAACGCAAAAAGCAAACAAAACAAAACAAAACAAAACAAAACACACGCAAAACCAGATCCGACTGACTAATGCCCTCCCCCGCCTCATTCATTCATTCATTCATACGAGCCGCTTTTCTCCCTCCCTCGTGATGCCAAAAATAACGCCGCCACTATGGATGCAACGTTCTGCCGCCGAAAAAAAAAAAAAAAAGGAATCTTTTGAACAACTATCTTCAAAACCAAGATATGAGTAGTGAAATGCGCGTTGAATATTAATATGTAAAGACTGTAAACCCGCCCAGCCCCCAAAGAGAGTTATTTGTGTTTAACTATTAAAATTATGGACTGCGACTTGATTGCTGCTCGTCGTCGCCATCTAATAAATGTTCGTCTTCTTCGGCCGTCTCGGCCTTCTTCTGCTTTTTAGGTCGGAAAAACTCTCCAATCGTGTCGCTCAGACTTCTCGCCCTCCCCCTTGAGACTTTCGCGTCTGTGCTTGGCCCAGCATCTTCATGGCCTAGTGCTTGAGGTAGATTGTCGTCTGAGTAAGGAATGATGGGCTCTTCCGCGATGCGCTCGGGTATGAGAGCATCCTCGTCGTCGCTATTAAAGAATAGACTCGCTCGAATGCTAGATCGTATGCGTCGTAGAGAAGATGCAGTCGCCTCTGGACTGTCGTTTTCCCGAAGTATGACATCCTTGACTGCTGTGGTGACGGTGGAAGAAAAAGGTGAGGGAGAAATAAATGGTCGTGATCGGTGATTGGCCGATTTGGAACTATGTGCCGCCCGAGGTGTTACGGGTCGATCGGTGGAATGTGATAGAGTCACCTGAGGCTCCTTGAAAGATGAGAGAGGATGTGGTTGTACAGGCGTTGAACCCAATCCAGACCTTGTGAGGACGGATTCCGCTGATACTGTGCGAGTGCCTCGAGGGGGATCTGGGCTCACCCACAGGCCTTGCCATGGGTTATTTACAAGAACATGTGCTTCGTCGCCGCTGAGATGCGCTGGAGAATGTGCTGATTCGAAATAATGCGTTGAGGGGGGTTCATGGGCGCCATGAGGCGAATCTGACTTGACTCTGTCGGCGAAGCTCACTCGCGACATTCTACTAGAACGGCGAGAGGGTGTTTTGGGAGTTGGCACGCTGAGGCGCCGCTGGTCATACTGTGGTTGAGGAAGTGCAGAGGATGAGGCGCTACCGTCGTGCTGCGTAAGCCCAATGGTTTCTTCGATGCCGTCCGTCTCGGAGAGCATATCCTCGTCATCATCTCTGTGTTCTCTCCCGCTAGTAATGAGAAAGACACCAAAGAATGTGAGAAGACAGCCACCAACAAACTTGGCAGCCTGCTTCTTGTTCGTCTTTTCGAAATCGCGATACAACACTGCGCTGCCGATGATGACACACAGTGTGAACATGACGAACTGAATAGGAATGACTTGAGTTGAATCGAAGCGGGAGAGAGCTTTGTTGACGTAGCGAATCTGCATAATGGCAGTCGACAGTAGGATAAATACGAGGGCATATGTTACAGGCGTTGTGAAAGCCCCCACAAAGCTGGTGGAGAGCATCGATGATACACCTTTGGTGGCCAAGGCCGTATATCCACCTGCAAGGTACGAATCAGTATGAGATCCATGTAAGTGGTAAGTGGCAGCATGAACAACTCACCAAAGAGGCCAACAAGGCCGAGGTCAATCAGGATGGTGCGTTTGCCATATATTCTGCTAGCCCACATGAGCACGATGATGAGAAACGTCGTAACGCCAAGGTAAATTTCGAATTCCATCGTGGTGATTGCTCCCCAGACATCATGGGGATTCAGCTTCGTCTCCTCTTGGTTCGCACTCAAAACGACGGTGACAACGCCAGAAACGGCAATGACAACGCCCCAGAAATCGCGAACTCTAAACTTTTCGTGAAACATGGCGGGTGCAATGATGCAGTTGGATACCAGCGCAACCACTCCGAGAGGCGAGACGATGGAGGCCGGCGCAAAGCCATACGCTAGGAAATTGCCTGCTTCTCCCAACGTTATCAAGATCTGGCCGAGCCACCAGTATGGCGATTTTAGATAGTTTGAGGATGGTTTTTTGTCTGATTTGGTATCGGTGTCGGAGCTTGCCGTCGTTGCGCTGGACTGAAACGAGGCCATCAGGGGCTCGTCTTCGGCGAAATCGTGCTCGTCGTCCGAGGGGTCATCGTACAGCCCTCTGTCGTGGCCGTTCCCGTTTGTACTTGAACGGCCATTTTGGTAATGATCTCCTGTATCGTCGCTGATGATGGTGCCGTAGACGCCGACCTGCGTGCTCCCATTGCTGCTACTGCTATGCGCTCGCTTCAAGGCTGCCCGAGCCTCTTGTTTTAGCCTCTTGCGCTCCTTGTGCAGGCGTGTGTGCGCATATCTCTGGACGTTGAGAGCAAGTGCAATCAGCACGTTGCCGACAATGGCCGTGATGATGCCAATCAGGGACGACCACCGCTGCAGGGCATCGTCGTCGTCGTCTCGACCCGGGCTGTCTCCGGCTCCCAGGCTGCTTGTGCTTGTCGCTGTCGGTGCTGTGAATACGCTCGTCCACGTCGGCAGAGTCGACTCTGTGAAATCGGGTCCCATCGTCGCCGCCAAGTGAGAATGTGTCTGAGGACGAAGCAAGGCGGCAAAGGGGGGGATGAAGAAGCAAATGACGGTAGGATCGGAGATTGGTGGAGAAACGCGAAAGCGAAACTACACTCGCCAGAAGCCGCGGCAGATTGCCTGACAAGGTATCATCGGGGCGAAGAGCAGCGACAGTCGGAAGGGACGAGGATCATGATCTTTTTAACAGAGGCTGATGCAGAGGCTGAGCTGGACATGAATGAAGCGGTTCAAAAATGCGGTCCAACAGTCACGCATCATTATTGCTGTCGCGGGCTTGGCGCCGAATTTCCGCCTGCAGATGCAGATGACGGGAGGTACGTACCCCCACGCTATGTCATCACTGAAGACAAAATTTCTGAACGGTTCAAAGTAACTAAGACAGTAGAACAAAAGACAGCATAAAAGAAGACAATTGCTCATTGATGTAAATACACAACATAATTATTTATATCTGTCTATGCTTAATTATTAGGTTATTTATAGTAATATTCCTGCCTCTTTCATATCAAGCTTGTCTGCTACAAAGAGTGTGTTTAAATGCTTTCAATAACACCTTGAAAGCCGCCGAAAGGTTACATTCTACGCAGGGCGGTGACATTGACCAAGTACAGGCAATTCAAGCACCAGCACAAAGCACACGCAGCTGCACCGCCACAACCGTACCAGCCACGTCTTGAGTGCGTACATATGCACGCAATTTAGTGCTGTCAGGTACTTACTATGACGGACACTCCCGTTACATCATATGCCAAAATCCAAAAGCTGGGGCTAGCTCCTCAGGTCATGAGACTTCCGCTGTGTCTCTCGATAAGACACTGTATCATCTTCTTATCACCATCACCCAACTTCTTCTTCATCTCCCTTCCCTTTGTCTGTCTCAATCCTCATCCTCATCCTCATCCCTCACAGACAAAACACCGTCAATGTCTTCGGAATGCCCCGCGACGGCGATCCTCTAAACGTCTTTGTTCGATTCAAGCAGCACGTGGACTCGGCCTTTCACTCCCTCCTCCAACCCCACCAGCCACAATTGCCAGCAGACAGTCAATCTGATCTGTCAACCTCCAAATCACCGGATACGCCTATTTCTGACAGCTCTAACCAGCCAGCGCCCCTTGCTCCAGTCACAATGGACAGCTTAGAGTCTCGCCCACCGGCTCTAGACACCGTCTCAGTCGCATCATGGGCTTATTCGCCAACCAATTTGCGCCACCTCAGACAGCCCGTCCCGAATGACCTGCCACCGCAATGCGACTCGTCCGTCTTCACATTCGAAGATGCGTTTGAAGACTTGCTCGCCGTTTCTCAGGGACACCCTCTGCCTGATATCAAGTCCAGGTACAAGCAGAGGCTGCTGCTGCGGCAAATGTTTTCCAATGGCGAGCCTACCTGGTTCTGGCTTCGAAGGCTAGAATCTCAAGGTTTGCTTAGACGACCCACTCGGGAAGAGCTGTACTTCCAACCTCGAAACTTTGGTATATGGGGAGACGACGCCGAACCTGAATTCCCCAACTCAAATTGGAACGACTGGTCTAAGCTTCACGAAGAGCTCGATCGGAAGGCAGCTGAAGTATGGAACAGTGTGGCTGCAAGTGAGCAATCTAATGGCCAGAACCAGACCAACGGTACCAGTTTCTTCGATGAAGTGCGCCAGACATTCAAGCAGCTAGACGATAGTTTCCATGGCCGTAATAAGTCACACCAAGATGACCATGGTGACCACCACCAGAAGCGCCTTCCCGATCACTTTGATGACCTCTTCTCCTCTCTTGGCTCGACCTTTGCAGAGGGCCACAAGACGTGGGACACATTCATCAAGACCATCACGGACAACAAACCCGTGTCCACTGATATCTCAGCTTCGCCATCATCCAATACAAGTGAAGAAAAGGTATATGGCAACGGAAATAAGGAAGTTGTAACAAGAGAGGAAAAGGTCAACAGCTTCGGCTACTTGACTACGACGGTGACGAAGAAGACATACGATAAGAATGGTAATGAAATCGGAACCGAAACACACTTTACTATGCGTCCGGCGGATAACATGCAGAAAAATGAGGCGGGAAGAAATAATGATACCAACGTCATCGAGCGAGCAGACACAGATGCAGAAGAACCGCAGACTCAGGACAAGAAGTCGGGATGGTTTTGGAAATAATGGCCCTGCTTGACATTTTCTTTCTTTTCCACACCTTCTCAGCTCAAAATTCGTAGTGTATTTTTACTTGGGCGGAATCACCATTCTTGAACAAAAGCACATAGCCTCAGCCAAATTGACATTTTTTGAACCCACTACCACGTCTAAACACGAATCATCTTCAAATCCATTATAGCCCGTGCAAACAGAAAATTAACCATGTACAACAAAGAAACAAATCATGCCATTGGATATTATAAATAGACACCCAACAATTATGCTTTTCCTCTTGATCCCGCCTTCTTCTTGCGCATCAGCCTCTTCCGCGCAATCAGCTTCTGCTGAATCGCCTCTTTTCCGTCTACCGGTTTCTTCTCCTTTTCTTTCTCCCCGTCGTCTTCCTTGGCAGGCTTCTTCACTTTGGGGCCCTTGTTCATGTTTCCCCTGTTCTTCTTGCCCTTTTGCTTCTTCTTTGACGCAGGGGCCTCCTCTTCCTCTTCATCCTCCTCAGACTCAGAGGCATCAGCCTCTTCATTGCCCTTTGTCTTGGGCGCTCTGGAGGCATTCTCGGCATCCTGTCGTCGCTTCACAACCTGTGCGTTCTCAATGGCAAATTCAACAATCAAGCGCTGCTTCCTGCCATTGTTTCCGTCCAGCTCGAGACCGTTTAAGTATCTCAGTCCCATCAAAGCCCAGCGGTGAGATGTGTACTCAATGAACCCGTAGCCACGGCTCTTACCAGCTCCACTGGCCTCAGACACCTTGGATCCCTTGTTGTCCTCAAACACAATCTTGGCTTGCTTGACAATACCCTTGCGCTTGAGCTTGCGGTCCTTCTCCTTGTCCTTGGCATCCTTGCCATCTCTGGCATTCTCTTCCTTGGAAAGCGGCTGTCGGCGTCCTTCCTTGACATCCTTGGCAAAACCGACGACGGCCTTTCTAGCCAGCTCTTTCAGATCCTTGGCACCAATATCGTTGGGAATGTTTCGAAGAGCAAGACGGGTCATGCTGATGTGCAACATGGGGTTCTTCTCCACAAGTTTCTTGCGCTGCGCTGCGCTAGCCTGTCTCATCCGAACTTCAGCGTCGCTCAAGAGGCCGCGCAGAGGAGAGCCCGCGCCGAGCTGGCCTTCTGATAGGAGGTACAATCGGCGCTTGTCCTTTTGCCTTCGCGCGGCGAGAGAGTTTTCTGCCAAGTTGGCGGCCTCATTCTTGCCCACAGCTTGGGCCACCTGCAGGACTCGGCCATCGAGCGTGTATTTACCGGTAGGATCAGCGTTTTCATCTTGAAGAATAGAGTGCTTAACACCTCCCGCGGTCGGTTGTGCGCGGCGGGGAGCACCGATTAAGCAAGTCTTTGCGTCGGCAGCATCAACGAAGCAAACAAAGCCTGTGCCGGCCGGCCTTTCGGTGGCCTTATCCATGACAACTCTGGCATATCGAACACTGCCGAAGTGGCCAAAGAAAGATTTCAGCTGCTCATCTGTAGCTGTAAACGGCAGATTTCGAACGAAAACGGTGGCAGAATTGTCCGTCATCAGCTCACGCTTTGGCTTCTCGGGCTCCTTTTCCTCCTCATCCTCCTCCTCGTCCAACAGCTTCATGTCTTCATCGTCTTCATCCTCATCCTCGTCGTCTTGCTCCTCGTCTTCATCATCTTCGTTTTCCATGTTTCCCATGTAGTTTTTCATAAAGTTTGCAAGATCTGATTGTAGCTGGTCATCACGATTCTTGACTTCACCATCAGCTCCAACCTCCTTCTCCTTGGCAGTTGGTTTATCATCTTCATCCTCAGTCTCCTTGGCCTCCTTTCCATCACCTTCTACAGTTTGTTGCTTGTCCCAGGTCTGCTTATCAACAGCCCAGTCGACGGCCAAGGTTCGACCGTCAATGACTTTGCCGTTGACAGCCTCGAGGGCCTTTTCTGCGTTCGGGCGTCCCCTGAGTGTGACGAAACCGAAACCCTTCAATTTTCCCTTGTTTTGTGGCAGATCGGCAAATTTGACTTTGCCATAGCTGATGAATAGCTTTGAAAGCTGTTCAGATGTCTTGATGCTCCACGGCAGATTTCGAATAATCAGCTTGGTGGGTGGTGGCTGGTACGCTTCTCTACCCTTGCCCTGCTTCTTGCCTGCATCTTCTGAATCGGGATCATCTTTTCGCTGTCTAGGTTCCGCGACTTCGATTCGAATGCGCCGGCCATCCCATTCTTTCTTGTCCAATGCCTCCTTGGCGTCCTTGGCGTCGTCGGCATCAGCAAACGAGACAAAACCAAATCCTCTTGACTCCTTCGTTTTCTGATCAATAACTACAGTAGCATGCTTGACCGGGAAATATTGCGAGAAGAAGTCTGCAAGGCTCTCGTTCGTAACGTTGGGGGGCAATGACCGGACAAAGATGGATCGTCGATCGTCAGTCTTTGCTTTCTTGGGAGTCCGCGAAATTCCACCATCTGGATCTTGAGTTTTCGGGGCAGCAGAAGTTTCACCGTCTGACCTTCTGCGCTTGCGATCATTCGTAGGGGGCGCCATGGTGATTGTTGCTGCGAAAACAATTGCAACAATACTTTGGCTGTGATGAAAACAACGTCTGGGACAAAGTATCTCTACTAAGAAAAAAAAAATCTGGAGCTTCAGCTATCAGCATTGTTATCTTATCGATTGACTTGTTTCGACGTTGACGCTAGCCCAGATGTGGATGGCGGGGTTACCAACACCACGTTATGCCAAAACGGGAGAATTGTTGATCGCAGTACCTGGAAGACGCGCTGGCTAAACAACACACGATCCAACATACAACTTTTGCAGATTCACGGCATCTTGCGGCTCACGCAGGATCT